TTCTCTGCACTAGTCTGTTTGCCCTATGAGTTCCAGCCAGCCTCATTACCAGCACCTGTGCACTCCTACTCTGTATGTCTCTTCATGCATCCTTGCTATTTACATAGAAACATAGAAAAGTGACGGCAGAAAAAGACAGAATGGTCCATCTAGTCTGCCCGCTTTTTTTTGGGGGGGGGGGGGGTTGTTTTTTTATAGGGGGGTTGTTTTGTTTTTGAGGGGAGGGGCATTTTTTTTTGTTAACTTTTTGGTCTGCGTATAGATCTATGCTTGTCCCAAGCATGTTTGAAGCTATTTACTGTTGACTGGCTCACTACCTCTGCTGGAAGTTTATTCCAAGCATCAACTACCCTTTTAGTAACATAGTACTTTCTGAGATTAGGTTTGAACTTTCCTCCAGTTAGCTCAAGGTCATGCCCACTATGTTCTTGACTTTGGTTTTTTATTGAAAATCCTGCCCTCCTGAACCTTATTCACCCCCTTGGTGTGTTTAAAGGTTTCAATCATGTCTGCCCTTTTCCTTCTTTCCTCCAGACTGGACATGCTTAGTCCCTGAAGTCGCTCTTGATATGTTTTATCCCCCCCCAGGCCTTCCACCATTTTTGTTACCCGTCTCTGGACTTGTTCTACCTTATCAATATTTTTTTGTAAGTGAGGTCTGCAGAACTGGACACAGTATTCTTAATTCGGTCTAACTAAAGATCTATATAGGTGAATCAGGTACTCCTTCCTCCTGCTGGTGACCCCTCTAGTGATATAAAGATCTATATAGAGGAATCAGAACCTCCTTCCTCCTGCCGGTGACCCCTCTAGTGATATATGTAGGGGAATCGGGACCTCTTTTCTCCTGCCGGAGACCCCTCTAGTGATATAAAGATCTCTGTAGGGGAAGCGGGACCTCCTTCCTCCTGCTGGTGACCCCTCTAGTGACATAAAGATCTATATAGAGGAATCAGGACCTACTTCCTCCCGCCGGTGACCCCTCTAGTGATATAAAGATCTATATAGAGGAATCGGGACCTCCTTCCTCCTACCGGTGACCCCGCTAGTGATATAAAGATCTATGTAGGGGAATCGGGACCTCCTTTCTCCTGCTGGTGATCCCTCTAGTGATATAAAGATCGATGTAGGGGAATCGGGACCTCCTTCCTCCTGCCAGTGACCCCTCTAGTGATATAAAGATCTCTGTAGGGGAATCGGGACCCCCTTCCTCCTGCCGGTGACCCCTCTAGTGATATAAAGATCTATGTAGGGGAATCAGGACCTCCTTTCTCCTGCTGGTGATCCCTCTAGTGATATAAAGATCTATGTAGGGGAATCAGGACCTCCTTCCTCCTGCTGATGACCCCTCTAGTGATATAAAGATCTATGTAGGGGAATCAGGACCTCCTTCCTCCTACCGGTGACCCCTCTAGTGATAAAGATCTATATAGAGGAATCGGGACCTCCGTCCTCCTGCTGGTGACCCCTCTAGTGATGCATCCTAGAATTCTATTCGCTTTCCCCACTACCTAGCCACACAGTTTGCTCATTTTGCAATCATCTGAAATCAATATCCCCAGGTCCCTTTCCTCTGAGGTGATGGCCAACACTGTACCCCCAACATTGTACTCTCTCAAGGCATTATTTTTACCTAGGTGTATTATTTTACATTTAGAAATGTTGAACTGCAATTTCCTGTGTTTTCTGCTGCCTTGTGAGTCCTGTGCTCCAGCGCTGCAAGGGAGTTTCACCAGCATAATTGTGACCTGCTCGGGTTAGTTGGTGGACCACAACCCGGGTATCGTCTGCAGCATTACATTGCCACCTCTAGGAGCTCTGGTGAAGACCAGGCAGTACCTTAAATTCAGAGCCTCAGCAGTTTTCAGGGCTCTTACTATTGCTAAGCAGGCAGGCATGCCATTCTGTGATACCTTTGTGGCTTTCACCACTATGTACTCTGCTGTCTCAACCAGCCCTGGTCAGCCAATACATCCCCACTGGGAGCAGATTCTCAAGTTGTGACAACCACTCCATAGAAGCCACTGTTTCCATGCACTGATGATGTCCAACAAGCCTATAACATCTCTATGCAGTTTGGAATAAATGGTTATACAGGCGTACCTCGGTTTACAAACGCCTCAGTTAAAGTAATTTTCGGTTTACGAATGAAAATCCATTGAAAATAATGGCTCGGTTTCGCAATATTGAGAATGGTTTAATTGCTTTTCAATGCATTTACAAATTCATTTTTAATCATGTCCCTGTACAGTATTTATGCCTTTAAAGTGCACTTTATAAAGAGTTTTAAACAAATAAAATACTTTTTTTTACTTTTTTCTGACCTCCGGAATGGATTAATTGGTTTTCAATGCATTTGCGAATTATTTTTTTTTATCATGTCCTTGTACAGTATTTATGCCTTTAAAGTGCACTTTATAAAGAGTTTTGAACAGATAAGACTTTTTTTTAATTTTTTCTGTCGAACGCCGGAACGGATTAATTAGTTTTCAATGCATTTACAAATTTTTTTTAATCATGTCCCTGTACAGTATTTATGCCTTTAAAGTGCACTTTATAAAGAGTTTTGAACAGATAAAAGACTTCTTTTTATGTTTTCTGACCTCCGGAACGGATTAATTGGTTTTCAATGCATTTTCAAATTTTTTGTGATCATGTCCCTGTACAGTATTTATGCCTTTAAAGTGCACTTTATAAAGTGTTTTGAACAGATAAAAGACTTCTTTTTTATTTTTTTCTGACCTCCGGAATGGATTAATTGGTTTTCAATGCATTTACGGATTCATTTTTAATCATGTCCCTGTACAATATTTATGCCTTTAAAGTGCACTTTATAAAGAGTTTTGAACAGATAAGACTTTTTTTTACTTTTTTATGACCTCCAGAACAGATTAATTGGTTTTCAATGCATTCCTATGGGAAACCGCGTTTCAGTCTACGTCTTTTTCGCTATACGAACGCATTAAATTCGTAAACCGAGGTAAACCTGTATAATAATGGGCCATGGAGTAAGCCAGTGATTCTGGATGTACACAGTAGTCAGAGGTACCAAGCAAACTTGAAGCTCCACTACCAAGGCTACACAGTACCCAGCCTAATCCAAGACACACAAACCAAAACTAAAAAGGAGCTGCATCTTTTTTTCAATAAGCTTTACTGTACAGATAACAGTGCATTACAAGTAACGCCATCCAACGCATTTCACCCATGATAAAGCCCCTCCCGTGGTGAAATGCGTTGGTGGAGGAGTGTTGCACGGTTTAGCGTGGAATAAAGTTTATTGAAGAAATAAAGGTATTTGACATAAAGCTGGCTAGGTGGCAGCAAGGAACGATTTGCACGACTTCGTTCACTATCCTAAACCCTTTGTGTTTGGGATCTGTAATGGACGTGAGACGTGTGGATATACTTTGTTTTCAGAAGGCTGTACTGTGCTGTATTACTAATTCTAAACTTTACAAATTCAGGACACGGAAATTTTCCTCCATCCTTATGCAAGCCACCTAAAACGAGATCACTGTTCCTGTGACACCTTGGCTCAGCTCAGAACAGGAATAAGGTTTGGAAGCATAGCTTTGCTTATGGTACACAAGGTGAGACCTGAGTTTAAAGCATTTGCCACATTCGAGACACGAGTACAACTTCACCGAGTGAATTTTTCTATGCCTAATGAGAGATGAGCTTCGGTTAAAAGTCTCCCCACATTCCGAGCAAGAAAAGGGTCTAATCCCCGTGTGAACGATCTGATGTCTGTTGAGAGATGACTTCCGAGTAAACCGTTCTCCGCATTCCAAGCAAGAAAACGGCTTTTCTCCCGTATGGATTTTTTTCTGTGCATGATGAGATTGGCCTTCCGGGAGAAACATTTGCCACAATCCGGACATACATATGGCCTTGTACCTGTGTGAAGGCCTTCGTGCATCATGAGAGACGACTTCCGAGTAAACTGTTCCCCGCATTCGGTGCATGAAAATGGCTTCTCGCCCGTGTGAGATTTTTCGTGTGTGATGAGATTGGCCTTTCGGGAGAAACATTTCCCACATTCTGCACATGAATATTGCTTCAGCCCCGTGTGAAGGCTCTCATGCGACATTAGAGAAGACTTCCGAGTAAACTGTTCTCCGCACTCCAAGCAAGAGAACGGCTTCTCTCCTGTGTGAGATTTTTTGTGCGTGATGAGGTTGGCCTTCCGAGAAAAAGCTTTCCCGCATTCTAAACACGAATATGTCTTGGACCCCGTGTGGAGGCTCTCATTCTCGATAAGAGAGGCCATTGGAGTAAACCCCTCTCCGCCTTCCAAGCAGGAGAACGTCTGTTCCCTCATGTAAGATCTCTGAAGTAAGAGGAGTTCTGCTCTTTGGGCATCCTCTTCATTTTTAAAATATGGGAATGTCACTGGAGGTCCTATGTTATAAGAAGTCATTGGAGATGTGGGGTCAGGAAACCCCTCCCCAGGTGTAAAAGAATCCGATGAGAGATCTGCACAGTAAAGGTAGAGGGTACTGGGGTCTTCTTCTGAAAAATCGACGGTGATGTTATCTTCTACTTCACCTTCTCGGTAAATAAAAGGAAGTCTCCTAGGATCATTCCTGTTGTGCTGCAAACCTGGAAGAAATCAGACATTATGGGGAAACAAGGGATCGTTTGCCATAATTGTAAAATACTGAAAGCAGAAGGATCTTTAGTTCCCCATCTCCCATTTCAGTCTATAGCAGGCATCACTATATGGAGGACCAGGGTCCAGATGCGGACCGAGCCACTGTCCCATCTGGACTCATGCAGCCCTGCCATTTAGAAGCCTGTTCTTCTCCCAGCTGTCTCGCGGTCATCCTCACAGAGCTGACAGTGGGAGGCAGGACAGTTCTTTTTTTTTTTTTTTAATTACCGTATTTTTCGCTCCATAAGACGCACTTTTTCCCCCCAAAAAATGGGGAAATGTCTGTGCATGTTATGAAGTGAATATGGAGTGGCCGGCCGGTATTCCCGCCACCATGTTAGAATACCGGGCCAGCCGCTTGGCTCTTCTGTGCAGCAGAACCTGCTCCTCGGTCCTACCTGTTCCTTGATCCAGCAGTGTCCGCACCGTCATCTATAGCGTGGGCACCCGGCTGTGACAGCTTGCGGCTTCACAGCCGGGTGCCCACTGCGCATGCGCGAGAAGCGCTGCACTTTGTGAATGGTCTGGCAGTCTTCTGGGACCTGTCACGTGTCCCAGAAGACGGGGAGGAGGACAACTCCACAGAAGTGGGAGCGGGTACCTGTAAATTCGGGTACTCGCTCCCCTGCCTTCCGCTCCCCAAAGGTCGCAGTCTCTGGTCATCTCCTGTAGTATGTCCGCAGTCTCTGGTCATCTCCTGTACTATGTCTGCAGTCTCTGGTAAACTCCTGTACTATGTCCGCAGTCTCTGGTCATCCCCTGTACTATGTCCGCAGTCTCTGGTCATCTCCTGTACTATGTCTGCAGTCTCTGGTCATCTCCTGTACTATGTCCGCAGTCTCTGGTCATCTCCTATGCTATGTCCGCAGTCTCTGGTCATCTCCTGTAGTATGTCCGCAGTCTCTGGTCATCTCCTGTACTATGTTCGCAGTCTCTGGTCATCCCCTATACTATGTCCGCAGTCTCTGGTCATCCCCTATACTATTTCCGCAGTCTCTGGTCATCTCCTGTAGTATGTCCGCAGTCTCTGGTCATCTCCCGTAGTATATCCGCAGTCTCTGGTCATCTCCTGTACTGTGTCCGCAGTCTCTGGTCATCTCCTGTACTATGTCCGCAGTCTCTAGTCATCTTCAGTACTATGTCCGCAGTCTCTGGTCATCTCCTGTACTATGTGTCCGCAGTCTCTGGTCATCTCCTGTACTATGTCCGCAGTCTCTGGTCATCTCCTGTACTATGTCCACAGTCTTTTGTCATCTCCTGTACTGTGTCCGCAGTCTCTGGTCATCTCCTGTACTGTTTCCGCAGTCTCTGGTCATCTCCTGTACTGTATCCGCAGTCTCTGGTCATCTCCTGTACTGTGTCCGCAGTCTCTGGTCATCTCCTGTGCTGTGTCCGCAGTCTCAGGTCATCTCCTGTGCTGTGTCCGCAGTCTCAGGTCATCTACTGTACTGTGTCCGCAGTCTCTGGTCATCTCCTGTACTATGTCCGCAGTCTCAGGTCATCTACTGTACTATGTTCGCAGTCTCTGGTCATCTCCTGTACTATGTCCGCAGTCTCTGGTCATCTCCTGAACTATGTCCGCAGTCTCTGGTCATTTCTTGTATTATCTCTCCAGTACATTGGTTCAGAATATTTTTTTTCTTGTTTTCCTCTTCTAAAACCTAGGTGCGTCTTATGGAGTGAAAAATACGGTATATCCTTATTAGCTTTATAATACAAAAATCCACATTATATCAAACATCATAAAACGCCATTTTTACTTATCATTCCCCATCCCTCCTCTTTAGCCCCCCCCCGCCCGTCCGCCTCCTCTGGTCTTCTTAACCCATTCATTTACTTCTTATCATTCTGATGTTATTCTACCTGACTTTTCCCCCCTCTTATCCTTTTCCTTCTCTCTCATCTTTCCCATAATCTCTTCCTTTGCCGTTTAACCTCCATCTGATTATGTCAATATTTTTGAATGTCAAAGCGGTACATTGTTTTGCATGGAAATTTCAGTGTCCGATGACGAATCTCCCCACGAATCACTATCGCTCAATTCTGCAAGTGGTTCTAATTTACTATCGCTGTTCTCTAGCTGGTCTAAAACCGCTTTTGACCTAAAGGGACGCTTTTTCGATGCCATGGATGTTCTCAAGTTTCCAGGCAGAAAGAACGGCAACAGTACAGGCAGGGCACAGGACAAAGCACTTGGTACAAAACTGATGGGAAATGGTTTGATACAGTAATGTAATCTTAACAGATTACAATGTATTGTGTGTATGTCACGTTTTTACCTTTTTTAATCTCCCGCCGGTTCCGACCCCCCCTGCGTCGCGGAGTTCGCAGGAAAGGGAACCCGGAAGGCAGATGCTGGCATCAGCTGGAGGACACAGCGGGAGGACATCGGGGGATCGCAGGACAAGGTAAATTACACTACACTGTAATCCTGAGTGTGGCTCAGGTGTTACTGCTTTTGGAACTGAAAATTAACCCCGAGCCACACTCGGGATTACCGCCAGGAGGGTTAATTACTTATTTCATTACACTCCAACCACTTCTAAGTATGTTTTTGATTTTTTAAAATGAAGCCATCCTTCCCAGGATTTTTTAAGTTCTTCAATGTTATCCTCATCTATATGGTATAATTCTTCCATCTTATATATATAATCTATTTATCCAATCTTTTATTTTTGGGGGCTCCCAATGTGTGCCATTGTTCCTTTGCTCCCACATCCTCTCCAATATAAATATTGAATTATCAACCTCCAGTACTCCTGTATTTTAGGAGAATCCCACCAAATATGTGCCATTGTTCCCTTGCTCCTGGATAATTGACGCATAACCTGTCGTAAAATTTCACAAGAGACGAATCTTTCTGTGGTAACGGTGAACTCGATGATGAAGTGAACCCGGCTATCCTAGGATGGTTCAGGCGTACTGACAAATCTTTCTATGCCGAAGCTTTCCAGGCATTGGTTAAACGCTGGGATAAGTGTATAAATGTAGCAGGGGAGTAGGCCAAAAAATAAATGCAGTTTCCACTCCTTGAAATTTGTTCTTTTATTATATAAACTCAAAAGTCCGGGTTTGATTTGAACCCCCCTCGTATAATATATTGCAGCCACCATTCCATAAATGCGGTGGATGCACTCATTTTACGTTTGTAGGCTTTTTTTTTTCATCTATTATCTCCTACTGGTCTTTCTAGTCCCACACATCCTAAGATGACAACATTCATCTCAATGTATATACTAAGAACTAATGACTCTGCAGACCCCACAGGGCACTTTCTTTCTAATTTTAAAGAAAAAAACCAAATACAATAATTAAAAAAAAAAACTAATTAGATGCTATGATTTTAAGTGTTTTAACAATTTCTTTGCACATAGTATGTGGGAAGTTATTAGTGTATCTTACTTTATTACTCACCTGTGCTGATCTCTAGAGGAATTTCCTCTTCTTTGCAAGGCTCATCACCACTCACATACGGCTCATCACTCATCATATATGGATCTTCTACTTCCTCCTCCACTTCAGTTTTAATAGTAATAAGATTTTCATCCTGAATAGCAGAATACAATGTACCTTTCGGTTTATCAACCCTGTACAAATAATTTAATTTCTTAAAGTGTCGCTAAACCCACCTCATAAAAAACGATCGATAAATGCTGTATTGCTGTTTATACTCACTCCGTTACTATGAGATTCGTTTTCTGTATTCTGCAAATACCTGGTTGATCCTGCTGCTCTCTGTCTCCCCCTTTTGTCCATGTCTCCAATGCAACTGGGGATTTTGCAGAGCAGTGTTGGCAGCTCTGCACATGCTCATTTTTCAGTGAGTTTCTCTGCTGAGCATTTCCTCCCTATCACATCTGAGCAGCCCATGTAACTATAAAGTCACACATGTGGGCGTATACACAGTGGTAAATGACAGCCCACTCCTTCCCTCCACCTCCATGCCCACTAAACACAATGGGGGTGGGATATTGCATGTAGATTGATGGAGGCTTCACCTCCCTCTTATTCTAAGACACAGACTAGAGGGGCGTGACACAACCTGACACAACCAGTGAATGGCAGAAATCCACCCACGCCATGTTATTGCCAAAAACAAATAAATATTTGATTTCAAATATATATTTCTATGACAATTTAAAACAGTTTGTTTATATGAATTATTTATTTTTACTCTGTATCCCAAAGGCTGTTTTTTTTTTTATTTTGAACATGTGACCAGCAGAAGAGGACAAAAAGTTCCTCCTGCCACTGTTTCTCTGCAGACAGGCTGGGAAAGTGCTGGGTCATGTGACAGCTGTGTAATGATTAGGAAAAAGGTACTTATATGTTTTATTTTTAATTAACCGCTTTCCGGGAAGGGGGCGCACGCCCTGCCCGCGCCGCCATCCATGGCCATGGCTCTCAATCACCGGGCCAGTAATTACCCGCCAGAACCCGGTGATTACCGACCATCTCCAACGGGGAGGAAGACTGTTTTGTTTCCCAACAGTCTTCCTCCCTGTTGGCTCAGGCACACTGCTCTGGATGGCCGTGCACAGCCATCCAGGGCAGTGTGCTTACAGTGAAGCACACAGACACCGCCCCCTAGGAAAACACTTCCAGCACACAGGTAACTCTATGTTCGCCCCTCATATAACCACTTCCTGCCCGGTGCCATTAATATAGTGTCAGTGCTTTTTTTTTAGCACTGATCACTGTATTGGTGTCACTGGGGATGTCAGTGACACCAAGTCAGTCCCCCCCCCTAGTGTCAGAACTGCCGCCGCAGTCCCGCTATAAGTCGCTGATCCCCGCCATTACTAGTAGAAAAAAAAAACATCCCAGTATCTATACCGCCATTTGTAAACGCTATAACTTTCATGTAAACCAATTCATTTATACGTATTGGGATTTTTTTTAGCAAAAACATGTCGCAGAATACATTTTGGCGTAAACTTATAATGAAATTTAATTTTTTACATTTTTTTACTGGACATGTTTAATAGCAAAAAGTCACAAATATTGTTTTTTTCTCAAAATTGTCAGCCTTTTTTTTATAGCGCAAAAAAATTAAAAACGCACAGGCGATCAAATACCACCGAAAGTTCAATTTGTGGGAAAAAAGGATGTAAATTTCATTTGGGTGCAGCGTTGCATGATTGCGCAGTTGTAAGTTAACGTAATGCAGCGCCGTAATGCAAAAAATAGCCTGGTCATGAAGGGGGGGGGAATCCTCTGGAGGGCAAGGGGTTAAAATAATTAGTGTCATCATCCACATACAGAAATAAAAGGAACAATGTAAATTACACAGTGTGTGTTTAGTATCACTTTAATAAGTCATTCACCTGATCCAGTGGGATCTCCTGATGTTCCTGAGGGATCTCCTGATGTTCCTGAGGGATCTCCTGATGTTCCTGTGTGGAGACCCGGGAAAACAGAGGACGGGGACATCTCTCTGGTGGGTTCCCATTACTGGGTGCATCTGTAGGAAACACGCACACACTGACTGAATACATTGGGGTTGATATACTAAAGGCAAATAGTTTGTGCACTCCAAGTGCTGTTGCTCTAGTTTGCGCAATTACACGCAACCAAAAAAGCCGTTTTGTTTATTTTCCTTGTAGGTATTTGGGTATTCTTTGCAAAGTGAAGCTTTATTTTATCTACTAAGCTCAGGAGCAACTGCAGTTGCCTTTAGTAAATCAACCCCCCTTGTCTCTATGTCTTTATATCATAGCATGTGTGTATTTAGATGGATGATCAAACTCTCCTTAGAAAGTCTCCTCTTACCCGGTGATATGAGGGGTGGCCGATTCTCCATCATGACGTCCATCTACAGATCCTTGTGTCCTTCTATATACTCCCACTCCTCTATTGTTCCTATGTCTTTATATCAGAGGATGTGTGTATCTAGGTGGATCCTCAATACAAGAAATTAAAATCTCCTCTTACCCGGTGATGTTTGGGGCGGCCGGTTCTCCATCATGACGTCCTTCTACAGATCCTTGTGTCCTTCTATATACTCCCACTCCTCTATTGTTCCTATGTCTTTATATCAGAGGATGTGTGTATCTAGGTGAATCCTCAATACAAGAAATGAAAGTCTCCTCTTACCCGGTGATGTGAGGGGCGGCCGGTTCTCCATCATGACGTCCTTCTACAGATCCTTGTGTCCTTCTATATACTCCCACTCCTCTCTATTGTTCCTATGACTTTATATCAGAGGATGTGTGTATCTAGGTGGATC